ACTTCTTAGTGCAGATCATTTCTTCCAAAATACAGCACGGTACTATAGATTGGAGTCACCTCGCAGTGTTCACTTTTCAGTTCTGGTCAGGATACTGATGTCACTGGAGTGCATTCACCGGACCATGCTGACGAAGCAAAGTAAAGGAACTCCCTGATTTGGAGCGGTCTATCTTGTAGTGTGAAGCGACATCATAAGGTAGTGACTCCCAGAGATCATATTAGACTCAAACAGTTGTTTGTTCTGAAGGACGTTCAAATTATCCAAATGTGCACATAGAAAAAGACGTGTGGAACCAGGACAATATCTCCTGGAGAATATGTAGCGGCTTTTGACTCTCTTTTTAAACACACAACAACTTCCGTCTTGAACCGCGCGCTGACCACGGGTACCACTGCCAGCTCCACCGACACGGCTCACTTTTGCTCACCACCTGTGATGTGAGGATGTGAGGGCAAGCATATGCAAGCACCACCCTTGTGAGCTCATGCACTCTGAAATCATCATGGAAGTGCAGTTCACCACCTGGAAGTTTTCGGATTTCATGGTCATCCAAGCGGGTCATGCCATCCACTTGCATGAATACTTTAGGGAGTGTATACGGGTGTATGGACTTCAACAAGACACAAAGCTTGACGTTCAATCCAAGGAGGTGAACGATCAATCCTCCGCCTCGGAACCAAAGCCACATGTCGTTGAATTCATCCATGTGGAACTTTGCTTCAATCGTGGGAAAGAACACATACATCAAATGGTTTTGAAGATGGTCAAGAAAATGGGGATCCTTCAGATTGACAAAACCTTCAGATATTTACATCTAATCTGAAGATGGTGGACTCCATCAGCAACGCGAAGTCCCTTCCGTCGCCAGGGTGGGAGGTAACACGTCCGTCCAATGAAGGTCCGGTGTCGGGGATGCACTACAAGATTCAGGATCTTGATCAGTGCTTGCCAACATATGTATATATAGTATAAAATAACAATCATATACGCCCACAAAATACTGTATATATCAAGTTCCTTCATCCGGATACTGCCAATAATTTCTCTCCCCCGCTTGAAAGTTCCCTTCACGGCCTTCGGGGGAAAGGATGGATGGGGAACGCACACTTGTGGTTTCAATTCAGTGAGCAGGTCTACTGCAGCATCCATCTGCATGGCACGGAATATTCTAAATGCACCACCACCTTGTTCAAAATTCCATGCCTCCATGCCAAAGGCAAGAGCAGCAGTGAAATCGCAAGACCTGCCAGCAACCGCAAGCTGCTGGTTTTGAGAACCTTCGAGCCTCTTGTCGCCAGTAAGGTCTATCGCAGGGGAGAGGCCTGATGGGATGTAGGTCTGTTGATGCCCAACATTGAATTGTTGTTTGACATAAAGAGGTCTTGCAATCACTCTTGCTGGTTTTAAGTTGTCAGTGCGTTCTTTTCTGCAGGCTCGATACGCAAGTGAATCGTCCCCCATCAAAGGTAAATTATGGTGTCAGGAGGCAGGTTCATCTATTTACAGAGTGTCAACATGGACTGCGCAATCTAATAAAACAACCATTAAGGTGTGAATGATTTTAGATTGAATAATGTAGTCTCAACATGTTGGATCATTGATCCAAATCCAATACACTGAACACATCGATCTCCATGTTCTTGGAACCTTGATCAATCGATCCAACTCCCGCCTCTGCTTCTGGCACCACCTTTTCCACCTTTTTCATCGCCTCCAGTGTTGTCATGATTATATAGGTGGTTCCCGGACGTAGACGGTCAGGTGATGTCCAACAACATGTAAGTTACTGAACTTTGACTGAACCTATTTTGTCTGGAGTCCAAGAACACCCGAAATTAGGCCCAAGCCCGAATGGGGAAAAAGAAGCACGCGACAAGAACTGCAGAACCCGAACGGCGTATCTTTGGACCCATACTTGGACCCATACCCATTTGTGGTTCCGCATAAAACCATTGAACAATAGTGTTGATCCAAATGAAGCTTGGGATTGGGATCGGCATGTGCAACATAAAAAATAGAAAACACGTTGACACCAAATAGGAAGACTAATTGAAACAGCATAGGAGCAAGTAGTGGGAACATAGGCAAAAAACAGGGTTACTAGTATATATTATATAGCTGAAATCAGCAAAGAGGAGATGACAAAGACCAGCTACAAGTCCACAGTCATAGATTGGCAAATGCGCTTAGGGTCAAAGTCCAGTATCAGCCCAATCAAATCTGCTGGGAGAGCGGCAGGGGGGAGAGTTGGGGGGAAGGCCGATCTGGTCACTACTTAAGGCCTACTCTATTGTGTTAATTACTAGGTTTGTCCTCTTGTTTCTCCTATGCGGCTGGTATGTTGTCCACGATTCTTGCAAGTTCTCTGTTTTCCTTTTCTCGAGGTTGACGGTTTGCAATCTTTCTTTAGTCACATCTGTGTTGTTTGGAACGCCGTGGTCCTGCAACCTCATTTGGAACACTTTTTGGAGGGATCCTGCAACACGCATGGACCTCCACCCCTTAGGTGACTGAGTCGTTTGACTCCACGCTAGAGTCGTTTGATTCCCGGTGATGTAGCGAAAGGCGAACGCTTCCAGGTTCATTACGACAATCATTTTTGACCAACCCTTTGTGGCCTGTGTCTTGCTCATTATTCAGTGACTTCTGCCGGGTTTCTTTGTTTTGTTGGCCCTTTGTTTTCTTCCTCCTTTTCGTTCCACAAAACAAGAAACGAGTGCTGCTCAGCTCTAGCAGTTGTCGCTGCTACGGCCTACGGGTGTCCTCATGTCCAACCCTGGTCGTCCACATCTTCGAAACATCCAACAGGGTCTACGGGCATTGGTACGAGGCATACACCCTAATTAAAGCCTCACGTCGTTTCACATAGCTCTGGAAAAGTACCTGCTCCAAATTCGTCCATGACACATCGATTCAAGTTGGCTTCCAAGTCCGTACCAGAGTACAAATACATTTCACCAATCCATGGACAATGATTACACACACAAATCAATTGATAAAAATAATATTGAATAAAGGTATATATACTGGTATATATCGTATAAATCATCGGCCTTCAACTACTCGGGGGCCAACCTGCCAGTTGTCACGTGGATGAATTTCAAGATGCTTTGGGTCCCTGGCTGTCTTGCTCCATCCAAGTGAGTCTACATGTCCTTGTGCCCTTGTAGAAAGGAAGCGATTTCCCTCAGTATGAAGACTGGAATCTTTTTACGGGTTGATACCTTCCTGATCCTTCCTGCATTGTCTGCTTGTCTCAACAAACCCAAGTGGCCCAAGAACAAGACTCATGGACGAACGGCGCTCGATGGATGACCAACCAAGTTGCCTTTCTCAGGAGGTGCTGATTGCACTGGAGCTGGAGCCGTGACGGGCTCCTGTGGCTGGTGAATGGTTGAAAGGAAATGAAAGGAACAGGATTTTGGTAAAAAACTGTGGAACATGTTGAAAGCTTAGAAAACACAGTCGAAACAACATAACTATTCTCAAAAAAAGAACAACTGTATTTTTTTTCTGCCCATGGTACTTGCTTCTTTGTCTGGATGATGCTCTCGGTGATGATGCAAACCTGATGATAGTAGAATCTCGGTGTTAGCTGAACCATCAAGTCCCAAAATTGAGAACAAAAGCAGCAGCAAGCACGCTCCTTTTGTATCTTTTGTGAAGTGTGGTTAGGTTTCTTCTCACTGGGAGAAGGACTGGGTGGTAGCCATCTTTCCAGCATCTGCCTCTCACTATCTTTACACCCAAGTATCTACCTCCATCTCCCTGTCTGCCAGCACTACAGCAATTACACTTCTATATTTATATCATTCCATTATTCTTGGCAGGTGCCAAGTGCCAAAGCAAGAAAGAATACACACCTAGGACTGCCAGGGAGTTCTAGTTACCACTAAATCACAACCAGTCCAATCCAAAGTCCTTTCGACCAAAAGCTCCTTTTGACAACCCACTCTCTGCCTGGTCGATCGTGGCAACTGGACTCAGTTTATTACTTCTATTCCCAAACGAATCAGGGCCCTGATATGGCCTGATCAACAATCCAACTCCACACCTCCGCACATACTCGCACCCACGCCGCGTGCTCACCCGTGCTTCATTATGGAACGTCCGCCGTCCTCGCCGAGCTCGTTGAGACATCTTCGCTGCTCTTTGTTCCAGGTCCAGCCGGCGTTGCAGCAACACCTCAGCCAACTTGGCGGCTTAGAGAAACCGAGAACTCGACAATGCGATTCACCTGGATTCCTTACGAGAAGGCACCATGGTTTTCCCCAATCTTACAGAGACTTACAACACACCATACGGCTCAAAAACAAGTTCAAAGATGTTCAAATGGTGACAGTCTCTCAGAATACCCACCTGCAGGCTGCCTAAGATAACCTGCTCCAATAGACTCAGAAAGCCTCTATCTCATATTCGCGAATGGGATGCCATTGGGAATCACAACTAAAACATGAAAACCAATCCCTCTGCCAAGAATACAAGCA